AACATCTTTGCAAAATGATCAATTCCAAGGCCATGTGATGTATTCCAAACCGAATATTTCAAGACCAATGACACCACGGTTGGTTTGATGCAAAATGTTTGAATGTTCAACGGAATACAAGAACCAAAATATCCCTTTTCGATTACATTGATTGCGATCTTTGTCCATCCATACTATTTCGATTGTATGGATGGACTCAATAAATGTTCAGTAATTCATTTCCTTCGCATATTTATTTTCAACCAAAAATAGTTTTGGCAAAAAAGAGATTCACATGGATTTAACGAACATTTTTGAATTGAACTCAACGAATTTGCTCAAAAGAGAGCTACCAATTGACATGAAGTGTATACATACGGCGACGTTGTCAACTTAACGAAAAGTCATCAACACACACAGGAAGCGTTTGCATCGCAGTATCACTGCTGTGGGATATGCTGAGCTTGCCATTGTTCAGTGAGTCACAGAGTGAGGCAGACATTTTGGAAGAGACATATACAAGAAAAAATCAATTTCACATTTACCAGAAAGAAACGATCAAAAGAACATTTCTCGACGTAAGTGTTGAACATTTCTGCTATTTATTTTGATGTTCAGTTTATGATTCTGTTTTAGAAGTGACAGATCGATTTGGTATTCATGAAAATTGTCAAACAAATTAACATGAAACAGGTTTGAGTACGTACTTTCTCTTGGCCATACACGCGGCGAACACGTGTTTGGCATGGAAGTGATTCATTAATGAATGTTTGATTTTTCATGTTTCTCCTGAATCCAGCAGAAAATGAACCCATTCAAAGGTGGTTCTGGTGGACGCAGGAAGCGCAAGCCAAAATCGGCAAAGGTCGAAGTCAAGCACGAGTCTGGTATTAAGGAAGAGCCTAACGACAGTGAAGATGTCATGAAAATACCAAGGCCGAGAGTTGATGGACGATATCGTGCGAATTATGAAGGACCGATGGACTTTGACTATGACTTCGATGAAGTAAAGAATGATATCAAGTGTGAAGAAGAAGAGACGGGCAACGAAAAGGACACGACACCATGTGACCGACCAAATGAGGGCACCGCCAATGACAATGGGGAGAACGAAGAGCCTATGGGTGACGCAATCGAAGTTCAACCACCGCAACCAGTCGACAGCGGGCAGAAGCGGAATGGAAGCTCCAAACAACGAAATAATCAAACGATTCCCAGAAATCAAGCGGCCAAAAAGCAAAAGAAGCACAAATGTCATGTGTGCAATCATTTGGCAAATAGAAAGTTTGACCTTAAAGTACACTTGCGAATTCACACTGGAGAAAAGCCGTATCAGTGTGATGTTTGTTTGAAGTCCTTAGCACGAAAAAGTGATTTGAACCGTCATAAGAAAACGCATGGCCAATTTCGTTGTTCAAAATGTAATCAAGGATTTGAACACGAAGCAGTCAAGATCGATCATGAAAGGCTATGTAGTCCTCAGCAATTCGAATGCGATAATTGCGGATATAGAACAATGCAAAAATCACATATGACAGTTCATATGCGCATTCACAGCGAAGCAAAGCCGTTCAAGTGCACAATTTGTTTCAAGTCGTTTACAACCAACACTAATCTCCAAAGTCATTCAATGATCCACAAATATGAACTGCCGAATGCTTGTTCGAAATGCGGTCGACGATTTGCCACTCCTGGCGAAAAGCAAACGCACGAAACGCACTGCCAACGAAGTCCCTTCGCATGTAATCAGTGTCATTACAAAACTGTTCACAAATCTTGTTTGAAGACACACATGCAATCAAAACACGGAGCAAAAAGATCGATCAAATGTGGAATTTGCAGGAAACAGTTCGTCCAACAGATCAAACTAAATCAGCATTTGTCATCAAAACACAGCGACCAATTCCCATTCCAATGCTCCAAATGCTTCGGAGGATACGCAACCGAAGCTGCAAAAGATGTTCATGAAGTCAGCTGTGGCCACCGTCAGTATCAATGCCATGTGTGTAACGGGATTTGTCGAAACATAGAAAAATTGAAGACTCACATGCGAAAACATCACACCGGAGAGCGGATTCAATGCAAAGTGTGTGCAGTAAGTTTTGTCCGGAAAGATCATGCTGATCGACACATGAAAACAGTTCACCGTTTGAAGAAAAAAAGTAACAAAAATTAAGTATGAAAAAATGTCACGCATTTTATAGATTTATCAAAGAGTAATTAAGTTTGACTTTCATTTTAAGAACTTTTATCATGTTTACTAACACAAAAAATGCATTGATTTAGGCTCCTTAGATTTAGGCTCCATTTTTGATTAAAATAAAACCGAAATAAATTTGAATAAAGATAAAAAGAAGGAGAAGTCTTTTTCGTCACGAAGAAAGTTGTCTTTGATTTCTCAGTGCTTTTTCGCAGCAATTTTTTTGGTTATACCACAAATGTGTTGCATTAGCAAAATCAACTGTGCAAGTCATCGACAAGCTAATTTTGAACGTTTTGAGATTAATGTTTCAGCTTCAAGGTATATCGTTTATAATTCATCATTCAATTGTTTGATTCGAATCGATTTCCAACCGTTTTTTTTGCTTTTTGCTGAATTTTCAAAAAAACATCACAACATTTTGGGTATTTCCCATTAAACACGGTAGAAAGTATTCAATAAAAAATATACACGGCCAACTGAATTGCAAACATTTTCCTCAACACCACCAACTTGGTGTCATCAAGTCATTTTCTATTGTGATTGGACGTTATATCATTTCTGGTTGTCTTACATCACAAATGAAGTCGGCAAAAAGCATTTTATTCGGAAGATAAAAAATACCAAAGTTGATTTCGGTTGGTTTGGAAATTATTTCTCTGC